TGTGTATAACCGCTAAAAACACTACTCAAAACAAATTTTAAGTATTTCAGGAGATTATGTGAAACATATGCTAGTTAGGACAAACATATTGAAAGACAATCTTGATGAAGATTTTACAATTTCTTTCAAAACAAGTAAAAACCGTGTATCTCCAGAAACACCCACCTACGCCCATTGAAAGTGGTCCAGAATTTTATGTATATTAACACAATGTCTTCATATTACAACCAACATCACATACTACGCTTAATACTGTTGATGAAACCGGAACTTAAAAAATGTTTTCTTAAAAGAGATATTGGCCAAAACAAGGGCATAGCTATATATCTAATTTTGAGGAAATGAAGCTTGTCATTAGAGTCTACTGTTAACTCTTGAGTTACTCTTGACTGAGTTAAAAGTAGTATTTGACAATCACTCTTATAGCACAAACACAACGACAAAGTGTGGAACGAGTTACTGTGAAAACGGGACTCGAACCCCGAATATTTTGGGATTCACAGTCCGGGCAAGAAAACGACTAGGCCACGTTCAGCCGCTTCTTGTTTTTGACGTCTAGATTAATGTCATAAACTTTATGTATGATATTGTATTCACGGAGGTTAGTGAACGAAACCGATTTTGTGATTGTTTGAAATATCTTGTGAATTCTCGTCGTTGATTCTGTGAATATGCATGTCACGACGAATAAAAAATGGTATAAAACCCAACCCGGCAATGAGTAAAATTCCAAAGTTGAAATAGACTGAAATGCTTATTTTAATATAGTTTTTATATTGTCGAGGAAGTGGTTAATAATAAATAATACGTGTAACGATATGTTGACTATTGGATGTGAATTACTGTATAAGTATCATGTTTTTTTTTCAAGCAAACATAATTTAAATTCATAGTATATTCTACATTACATACAGAAAAATTAGTATGACCCGTATAAAATTTTTGTCAGTTTCGTATATTTTTAAGAAAGGATTTGTATTTGGCTATTACAGAAATATAAAATTATTTACACTAGAAAAATAATAAACGGTTCAGATTCCGGACATATTGAAGTTCCAAACGTTACACACCCCTTTGCAACGTTCTATCAAGTTATTATTTATTGTTTCTTTATGAAGTTAAACTGAACATTCTTTGATCGTTTTCTTTCTTCTTTTGGAATCCCAAAAATCACACTGGGATTACATTATCTTCTCTCCTTTTTCCCCTTTTCTAAAATTTTTAATGAGCTTATAGCATCGGTACAAAGGATGTATTTGAGGGTTAATCTTTGGCATAATTGTATTTATATATATATATATTGAAACAGCACCAAATTGGATAGAACAGCTCTTAAACAAGTCTACTACTGTTCTGGCATCATCGTATTGTTAATTAATTTACATTTTGCGGTTTAACTTTAAGTTATAGATCATCTGGTAGTCAGAAATAGTTCTCGAAGCTTTCGCCCTAATCACCATTAGTAGATTAATTACCCAAAATATTTGTAAATGTGGATTCTAGTGCCTTCGTAATTTGGAACCTATTTTACGACACCTGCTGATATTTTTTCTGAGTCAGAAAATGTTTAAAAATCTATTTTTTTCTGTTTTAATAATACATTATTCAAAATGTTTTAGTGTTTTTTACATAATAATTCACTATGATATTCTGCGCGTGAATACTTTACTTAAAAACAATCCTTAAAACAAAGCAGTTTATTTTCCTAACTCACTATGATATTATAAAACACTTTTTCACATTATTTTTCACATAAATGTCTTAGATACTTTTATCGAAAAACAATAAAAAATGAGGTTTTGTGCACTAGAAAAAAACACTGCAAGAAAAAGAAAACAAGTGAAACTATACCAAAGTAAAATCTGACTGAAACTCAGTACTCTTAAAAAACGCAAAAATGTTAAATAATTAAAAAAAATTAGATTATGGATGTTTAGAGAGTTTATTTTTCAATGTTAAACATAATGAAGGGTTTTCATATTTGTTTGATAAATATGATATCCAAAACTCCGAAAGCTTGTTAGATTTTGTTATGATGTGAACATTTCTCGAAGTTGGCGAAGTATGATTATGATTAACTATATTTGCTATATGACATCAATATTAGGGATTATATATTCTTTATTCAGTCTCTTAGGGTTTTCCAAGAAGAAAACATAGCCTGGTGGTTAGGGCGCTCGACTCACAATCTGCATTAACATATAACAGTCGATCTATTCGTTGGTCAAGAATACAATTCGATTCATTAAATGGTTATGGTGTACATAATGTGGTTGAAATATTATTATAAATTATTATTCTTTTTAAAAACTCCTGAGAAACCGAATAAAGAACGTAGTGTTAAAAATATGATAGGCCTAATACTAATGCATATCACAAGTATAATTAATCACAATTATGCTTCGCCAGTTTAGAAAAAAGCGTTCACACCATAACAATTGTTGCTTACATAAATAGTGTTCTGTCACTACTGTGTTCGTTATAGCCCAGTCGGCCTTATGAGTTCTGTAATGTACGAAATACGTTGTCATGAATGGATATGCAAATGTAGTGTAGTTGGAGTACTCTTCTTCATGAAAAACCCTAAAAGACTGAATAAAAATTACAATTTTTTTTAAATGTTTGATAAAATTTTTATTTTATAAAAGTGTAAATGATACACTGTTTTTACAATCATTGACATACAATAAATATAGTTTTTTACCATATCAAAATTATAAGCAAGCTAACATTTTTTAAATTGTTAAACAGAATGTTTCATTTAATACATAAAATAAGTTTTAAACCTATTTTAAATTTATTTACGTAACTTTTTTAAAATTTACTTTCGGCAACTTTCGGCCTGACAAACAACGGCCTTGTCTGCGAAAGAAAACATTATACAATCTAGTGCAAAATTATCTAACTAACCCTAACTCATCTTGTTCAGTGGAAAACATTTATTTTTCCCATCACACTATGATATTATAATTCAAATTAAGTATAAAAGGATACAGCAAGCTTTTTTCACCAGTTTGAAAAATTTATGACTATAATTTTGGTAGAAGTTGTTCACAAAAATATTTTCCAATAGCAACATATCTCCAAGTTAATTTTTATCATTCTGATCGAATCTCTACGCAAATATCCGCTCAACTTGAAGCCATGTTAATTATATCATAGATTTCATTTCTTTTCACCAAGAGTAAAATTGCAAATATAATCCGTGACGTAGACGGCTAATGCATATTGACTTATACAGGTGAAAAGAATAGAAAAAGAGCTTTTATTTCATGTTTAGATCTTTAGTCTATGCCTTCTCAAGTCTGTTTGTGTGTGTGTGTTTTTTTGTTTGTTTCAGAGCAAAGCCAATATTGGGGTATCTGCTGTGTCCACCGCGAGGAACCGAACAACCTCAAATCTGAAATATAGGTAATTATATCACATTACGACAACTTAAGTTGAGAAACAGCGATTGGCTAAAATACATAAAAGTAAATTTGTATTAAAGTTAGAAGATTCGTATTATCATTGTTTAGTTAGCTATTATACAACTGTCTTTCTAGAGGGCTATGTTTTTTCTGTTCGTTTTTTGTTTAAAGTTAAGCACAAAGCTACACGATGGGCTATCT